AGGTGTGACAATACGATACTGATGCATGAGCGTGGCATTCATCTTACTTGAAAACATGGTACTCTACAAAATCGCATGTTTATTTACATACACATATTAGATAGTAGCGCTCCGCCCAGATCCGCACGGGTGCAATGCTGATACTAAATATAAATTCACCCACCAGAAATTTAAGGAATTAGAGAAACAGGGACGAAAAATAATGTTGTTTCATGGACATGGAATATTCAAAAATTCTTTCTCGTTGTACATCTACAAGATGAAACGAATCTACATACAAAATTTCAGCTTCCGAAAATATAGCGGTACAGAGAATCAGTGATGTAAAGGTAATTTTCTTATGTAAACGTGCCTTTTTTATCCCCAGAGGGGTGCTCCATTTGAAGTATGAAAAAATACTTTCTTATTGCACTTCTACAAAACAAAACAAACCTACATACCAAATTTCAGCCTCCAAGAATATAGTGGTACGGAGAAACAGTCATTAAAAGTTAATTTTCATATGTGAACGCTCCCCTTTTACCCCCACCTGGGGCGCTTCAGTTGGATTATTTGAAAATCTTCCCATAGTGCTCATCTAACACCTGAGAAGCACCTATATAACAAATTTTAGCTTCCTAGGACTTACCAGTACGGAGATACATAGATGAATGAACGTTAATTGACTTTCCTATTCATAAGAAAAAAATTAGAAAAACAACTTTGATAATTCCCACGTTTATTAAACACCTTTATGTTGGTCAATATTTTCGTAAAGATTTCATCACCACCTGGAAATATTTTTTGAGATTCATTTTGTATTTCAAATAGAAAACAGCTTCCATCTACTTATGTATCGTTGATGGTTTCTGTGTATTTCAAGTGGTATTGAAAGGGGTGTATTTTTAGGAGAGAGTAATTTTTGGAAAAGAAAGGTTATGACTTTTTACTTCTCCATCTTCAGATGATAGGAAAACGGTTATTTTGAACATATTTTTGCTTTCAGTTCATCCGTGATGTTTATAATGGTTTTTTCCTTACTTTGAAAGTCAAAAACATTTTTGACTCCCTACTTCATTATTCTCATGTGATAATTCCTTGAAAAATATTAAAACAAAGAGAATTTACACTATCTACTCAAAACACTTGAATGATATGAATTTCAACTTGAACATTGATAATGTTTGATCTTGAATTAATTAAAAAGAAAGACTACATGTATGAAAGAAACTAGGTCATTTATCTAAGCACTGAAAGCAAGAAATTCATCCATACTGTAGAAGCAGTTATCCAACAAGAAACCATTTAGTTCATTCCTTATTACTGTTCTACTTTTATTGATCCCTATACAAGTTATTTTATTGAAGCATTCAATACCCAAGTATTTTAGGGAATTTTGACTCACGCTCAAGCGAGAGTAGGGGTGGTTTATTATCATAGATGAATAACACTAGCTGTGATATGTAGAGGCACGGCAACGGTAAGATGCAAAATTTTTTAAATAGTGGTTTACAAAAATCCAATGGACGAGACTTGTTCGTACAGCGAATGACTCTTTTCTGAAGCTCAAAAATGCGGTCAGTATATGCCGAGTTACCCCAGAAGTTCAATCCATACCATAGCATTGATTGTACCAGTCCATGATACATGAGTTTTACTTCTGTAGAGACTGTTTCTCGCAGATTTCGGATTGCTTGGTTTGCAATGCCAACCTTTACACATAAACTGTCGATATGTGCCTCCCATGTCGGCTTTTGATCCAGGAGTATTCCCAAAAATCTAGCTACGTGACAGTATTCCAGATTTCATTTCAAAATATTCATTTTATAAGTAGATATTACAATACTAATAATTTCAATGTGGTTATTGTGAAAAATTAGGGTAGATAAAAGTTGAGTGCATTTCACATGGAACTTTATGAAGTATGGATTGAAAATCCATAACGTATTCAAGTTTCTTTATGAATGGATATGGTGAAGTCATACCTTAACGAAAGGTATCAAATTGTTGATCTAGGAAATACCAAAAGTGAAAAAAGAAAAATATTAAGAGGAGTACTACAAGGGTCAATATTAGGGCCACTTCTGTTTTTAATCTATATCAACGACCTGCCTCACGTGATGAACTCGTCAGACATAGAAACTATATTGTATGCAGATGATGCAACCTTGGGCAAAAAAAAAATATAAAATAGATGATCCTCATATGATCCATACTGACATATTAGAGAAAGCTCGATCATGGTTCACACCNCTCCAACGGAAACAGAAGCAATTTTCCTCTAGACATGAGCAGTTACACAGCAGACAATGTCTGCTCTTAAGAAACACAGTGGAACTACTCACAGCGGGCCTTACACAGCATACTGCAGACACCCCTATACTGGCATGTGGCAAGATTAGCGCGTGTCATCAATTTCACCAAAATCGCTTGTGACTGGAGAGACAAACAGAAGGGAACGAGATCGCACTTTTGAGGTGGTATAGATTCTACTGTTGTCATGTTCACTTTGTTTTAGTAAATATTTTGCCTATTTAGTTCCACCACGTGTACGCCACTGAACACTGTCATGTGTCAACTTCAACTGTCAAAAGTGTTACTCTGTGGTTCTGTGGCGCTTCAGATGCTCCTGTCACCAGGGCTTTTTCAAGGATAAGTTAGGTAAGACATCGCATTGTTATGGGTTAGTAAATTTACCTTACTGGTGGTTTGAGTTTTCTTTTGATCTCGTTGATGATTTCTTGTTAGGAGCAGTCATCAGTGACACTTATTTTAAAAGGTCTTTGTTGTTTTTGAAGAATGGTGATACTAGCAAAATTCATACAGAATTTGAGGAATTTTTCCCGTATGAGTTTTTGAAATAAAATAATTCGTCAAGCCTGAAGGGAATTTTTGGTTGAAATATACTGTTTGTAACATTTACTAAATCATGTAGTTTTTCGAAGGAAACCTTCATTTTTGTCATCTGAATAGACAGATTTATCCTTCTCCCACTTCTCTAATACTTTTTGATAACATTGGGAAATGGGTTTTGGCATGACACTATGCAGTAAAATTGTGACAATAATAACTCTTCATTTGGTTTTTTATCCGGAATCCTGTCAACAGGCGTATCTGTGAAATCTATCTGTGATATTTTTTGAAAAGAGCCCTATGTTCAACATATATGTTTAAAGCGATATCCGACCAAAGCATGATTTGTTCATCTACAGTATTTGTTTTCACCTTTTTGTTGATTGTATATCTACCTCGGACAGAGAGTAATAATAAACAGGACATTATTACTTAGTTATGTATCGCTAGTGAAGTGGTGAGAATTTTGTCAATCGTTGGCACAATTTGTGGATAAGCAGCAGCGTCTACAATTATTTTAGTGTGACGAGATACTGTCACGAATTTCCTTAAGTTAATTTGTATTTGATTTTTCAGTTTCTCAACATATAAGAATGACCATTCTATTTCGTTAGACGAGGGACCCTCACTTTAATGAACTAAAATAGTTTCCTTTCATTCATACACTTGAATATGAACAGTTCTAGTATTGTCAACTTTTCCAAAACTCACAAGGTCTGCCGTATTTGTTTCCAATTCAGTTTCAAGCAGTTCAGTTTCGGAGATGGTTGCTGGAATATTCAAAAAAGGATGCATACATGAAAGATATCAATACTAGTATTTCTAG